GAATTACTCCGAAATTCTTTCTATTGAATATGGAGACCCATGTTTTCTGTTGTCAGAGTATTATTTTGGAAGTTATTTTGTCTTTGTTTTTACAAGATGACTAAAAAGTAAGGTATGTGCTCTTTCTACTTCTTAACCATATTATGCTTAATCTTGTATTAATCTTGTCATTGCTGTGTTTTTTTTTTTAATGTCTTCTCTGAAGCTTTAAACTTGTTAAGAACTTAAATGCTCTTTCAATTATATTTTAATTTTCTCCTGTTTCATTTTACTAATTTTTCCTTAAAATTTCATTAGTATGTGACAGGAATGGGTTACCGTCAGATTATCATACTTTCCTGTAGTCTACTCGGTGTGCAGTCTTTTTCTTTGAAAACACCATCTTGCCTTTACATTAAGTAGTGGTGTCATTGCCATTCCTGGGGAAATGAAGGTTGGTCAAGGTTTAGTGGGTGACATTGGTAGTAAGGTGATGGTTGGACCGGATGATCTTGAATGTCTTTTCCAACCTTAATGATTCTTTTAATAACATTCACAGTGATTATACTATGGTAACTGGCTGGGTATGTTTTATAGAGGATTACTGGTAGTTGTCTTTGGAAAGAAATGCAATTGTCTGCCTGGCTGATCAAAACCGTTCATACACAGGGGCAACCTTTGTGTTGCTCTATTTGTACAGAAAATTCTGACGCCAGACCTCAAGTTCTGGCGTCGGTGGAAGAGCTGGAAAGATAGTGAAATCTCCTGTGAATACAGTTCAAAAATGAAATAGGGGAAAGATCTAAGCCACAATTTCAAAGAGAAGCAGACAAACGAGTTTTGATGAATAATGGAATTCATAGGATTTTCTATATTTTTTTGCAGCAGAAGTGCTGATATTTTGCTGCTATATTACCATTCCTCTTCTGCATTTCCTTTTCCTACCCAAAGCTGGATTTTGTTAATCCTTGATCCTACCAAAGCAGCTCTGTGTGGTATTACTGGGGTGATAGATTAAGTGCCAGAAGTGTTTAAGGAAGTTAGAGCAGGTTATCCTTGTAATCTCAGAAGTGTAGTTAAGATTTCGGTTATACCTGCACATGTGTGTGTTTTGTCAGTTAAGGAAACTGAACAGCTGAGGAAGTGACCCTAAATTCAAATTTGAGTTCTGGGAGCCAGAAGCTTGTAAGAACAATCTTGATCTCCATATGCTTGAATTCATATTCGCACATTGTCTCAAGATGGTGAGAAACAGCGATGACAACTTGTGATCAAAGTTGTATTTTCTTATGCTTGGTCCTCAAGGCAGGGAAAAAAGTGGTCCTGTAAAGGTGATTTTTGTATCCAGTAAATAAGATTTTCATAGCTATGCACATATGACACACTACTTTCTGTCGTCAGTATCAAGATTTGGAACAGCAGTAGTCAAGAAAGCAGCCTAATCTGACCCCTAATCTCTAACCCCAACAGTTCTGTAAATTTGAGGGGTTTTGAGTGGGCAATAGTTATATTATTGTTAAATCTTCTGTATTTATTGCAACTAAAACTTTTGCCTCTAGCGTAAGACTTGTTTGTTGTATTTCAGTAGATGCTTTCAGGATACATCTTACAAATTTTTGTTGTGGTGTCTTCTGGTGACTTTGAAACGTGCAATTCCATGTGTCCATAGCTGCTTAAAACGCATGTGTGGGGGAAACCAGTGACAGACAGATAGACAGACAAACAAAAAAATCCCTCAAACCGAACTCTACAGTCTGAATTGTCATGGCTTGAAGGGGAAGCCTGATGCTGGAGCACACTGGGACATTCTGCACAGAACTTCCCAAAGCTCTGCATCTCTCCCATGCCATTTTTCCTTGCAAGCCTTCACTGAAAGGGTCCTGTGCAGGATAGAACAGCCTATTTTATATGACCCAGTGCTGGCCAAGAGAAGCTTGTCTTCATTGAGGGTAAATGTTTGGGTAGCTGCTTGTGGTTAGCTCTTCTATGAAAGACAAATTAACACCATAGTAGTAAACACAGATACTATGTTTAGGTCAGGGGTTCCTGGTGTCTTCAGGGTAGTAATAGACTTCTGGAGCCTATTGTGTTAGTTTTGATGTTAGAGAGTTAGAATGTGTGATCTGCTGATCACATCCATATGTTATCTCTTTAAATTGCTTTTGGGAAATTAGCGTTTGTCTTATCCTGTGCTTTAATGAAGAATGCTGTGATAATTTGCAGTCATCCAGTTCAAGAGCTTTCTTCTTTGAATATTTCAGGGACTTTGAAAGGGATGTAGATTGTTACCACAGACAGTTCTGTGGTAAAGGATTTATACTGAAATTTTTCTTATGTTTATTTTTTTATATTTTGCTGGAATGAGGAATGTGAATATTCTTTCCTCATTTTTTACAGTTACGTGATCAATCTGTGATCTCAGAGTACTTAGTTGTGTTCACAAACTGTTGTCACAATTTTTGAATCATGAGTACTTTGAATAAGGAAATGAAAAAATGAGCTCTGACTTGTAAACAGATGAAAAAATAAAAACTTGTAGGTTATAACTTCTTCAAATATTGAGAAGGATGATCCTTCTTAGGAAATGGGAACTGAAAACCAGTTCTGCCACATGCTTTATTTTAAACTATTAAAAACCACTTTCTGATCTTTAATACTGTCTCTCTTCTTTTGACAGATAATTGAAAACTGTCTTGGAAAATTTTGGGAAACAGTTGTGAAGGTGGCTTGTGTGAGCAGCTCGTGTGTGTCTGTGCTTTTTTTCTTAGGTAATCTCAGGAAAACATTTTTTGATATCTGCAGGTGGAAGGCTCATTTTTATCAGTTAAAGGAAGTTGCTGCATTTTTGTGGAAATTGGCTCCTGTCTCTCTCAGCTTTTACAGGGTGGTGTTTTCTGAGGTCTCAAACATGGCCTAAATTTAAGACAGGACATGGTTTGTGTTCTTTGTGAACTGGGTAGGTTTTTATGCGGCTATTCAACGTTGATTCAAGACTGTCTTGTCTCTAGCGTGCAGTTGAGGTGAGAGAATTCCTGTCAAGTCCTCTCTCCCTGCCTCAGATAATGGTAATGGAATTATTGACAGTACACATAAATGCTATTTCCAAGTTGTGTGGTGGAGAGCTCAGAGATCCTTGGTCTTTAATGGTATCAGGAGCAACTTCAAGGAGAAGGTGGAAACATTCTGATTTCAAGGTTGCTGTTGTCAGTAAGTTGTATTAGTCAAGGCAGCTGTCAGTTTCATCTCTGCCTTTCAAACCCTAGAGTAGCACACGTATGTACAAGTGGTTGTGTCTGTTTTGGTGCAGCCCAATGAACAGTTTGACATCTTTAGGATACTGTTGTTATGCAGGGAAGCAGTATTTGAACTCTATAAATGGTTTCAGTCACTTAAAACTTTTGGAAATTTGACTTATTTTAGAAATGGTGTTTACATGGAAGTTTTAGGTGTGAAAGTGCTTAATCAGCCACAGCATGTAAGATTACTCTAGTTTAACTTGTGTTTACTTCAGAAACGAAACACCACATTCCCTCTGCTGTTGCTTTGTGTGACTAGGGAGAACAGAGGGCTGGTGTTGCATCGTGTCATTCAGATTTGTAGAACAGAAGAGATGTGAAACTGGGCTGGCAACAGAATTGTATTTGGTTGGAGAACCTGACCTGCTAAGGTCCTGAAACAGTTAAATTAGCACATGGTTATGCTGTGGGTTAGTTAGGCAGGCAATGGCATGTTGTGACCCTCTGGGTGTTTTAGGGTAGCTTGATGGTGAGCTTGTGGAATTGCTCATAACTGTGGTGGGATCAGGTGATCAGAAGAAACTATAAACTAGCCATTGCTGGCTTGGAAGTTAATGTCAGGGTGGTATGTATTAAAACAATTTCTATTTTTTTCATCGTGGATGCTTGGCATGAGTGACTTCATTCACTGCCTTTGCTTCACTGAGCCAAAACTCCTGTTTTTTCTTTTTTCTTCTGGTTGAGAAAGCCCTATTACTTACACATATTACTAAAGTCCTTTGTGTTGTCTGACATTTCTTTCTGTTCACAGTCCTTGGTTGCCTCCAGTGTTTTAGGAAATACTGTGCACCTCTATGTCTGTGATGCATATATATATTTGTGTGCCAATATATGTGTGATGCAAAATGCATTACTTTTTGTATTTTGAAAAGTAAATTGTTTAAGTAGATAGCCTTGAAGTACGACTTAATTAGCACCCATCTGAAATGGTAAACTTTAGTAAATGCAAACCTATGGTTTCCTGCATTGTTTTACAGGCTTTTCCTGATTTTTTTTTTTTTTTTTTTTTTTTTGTTATTTAAGCTCAGTTTGTGACTGTAGGCATAATTATGAACACATACCCTTAGCCTAGGTGTTCTAGCATTAAAGAGCAATTTTAGAAGGTAACAAAAGAGGACGTATTTTAATTTGCTGCTGCTTAGCTCCCATGTGCTGAGCTTTCCCTTTCTCTCTTATCTAGAGAGATTAGACCAAGGGGATGAAACTATTCCTGTTGGAGCCGTTTTGCTTCTGACTCTTACTTTCTCCCATTGGTACTAATGTTCATGAATATAACCAATTCATGTAAACTGCCTCTCTGTGCTATTTTATTTTGCTCACAAGATTTTAAGTAAAAAAAACCAAAACAAAACAAAACAAAAAACAAAAAAACACTTGAATTTACAGGGAGAAAGTGTCAAAGGGTTAATAAAAACCATGCTCATTTGCTTGAGGACTACATAAATAATGAAAATCAAACACGAGACAGTTACTTTTCTTCAGTGCTGTTTGCTATCAATTCCTATGTGTTTGCTCTATTTTTGCTGTGGTTGCATTAGTATACTTGTCTGTTTCTGTCTGACTTAAAAGAAAAGATGGTATAATTATTCAGGGAATGCTGTGGCAACTCCCTTTTTGTCTTTAAATATAAATCACTTTGCGTTCCTCCTGTCTCCATTTTCTCCTTGCAGTTAGGAGTGATGGATTAGAATTAGGCTGCAGCACAGATTGGGAAAATCTCCCAGCATCCTCTTCCTGCAGAGACATCAGCTTCCAGCGTTGACTGTAGCTGCTGCCACTCTGACATTTCTTTTAAATTCAGCAATGGAGAGTGCCTGCGATGCCGGCTGCTGGCTTGTGAACTTTTATTCTCTTATTCTTTTTGCTTGATAACTCATTAATGAAACCTCATGGATGCTGAAGAGTGAAATAGTCTGTTTTCTCTGTATGCTTTTCTCCTGTCTTTTTGTTGTGCGGTGGAAAAAGAAGAGTGAAAGAAGAAGCAATTATTTTTGTATAAGGAATATATTTACTTACCTGAAGTTAACCAAATTAACCCTGTGAGTACATTATCTCTGCCTATTAGTCCCTGAAACTGTGATTGTGTTAGACAGATTTATGGAGTTTTATCTGTGAAAATGTACTTTAGCAGGTATGCTGAACATTTAATAAAAAACATTTTGTAGTTCAGATGGAGTTCTCTGGAGAGGAGGGAAAAAATTGTATTTGGAACGGATTTAAGAAGTAATTGTTTCTCCTCTGCACTTTGCTGTGGTGAACAATGCTTCTAGCAAACAGCAGCATCTATGCTGATGTCAGTGCTTAATCAGCTAGGATGCTGTAGGTTGTAGAACACCGCAAGGTATGTGTTTTGGATGCTGTTTTTTAATATGTGGTAATTTAAGGATAGTATCTGACTTGTAATCATTTCCTGCATTTATAATACACCTATCAAGAGAAGAAGATATACTCTAATTAACCATTTGAGGTTATATGATTTTTTGACTTTAATGTAATGCAGTTCTATGCTTTATAAGTACAAAATGCTAAGTATAATGCAGTGTGTTTTGAGAGATTTTTAGCAATTTAAGGTCTCCAAATTCAGCTATAAGTTCACTGTGTGATAAATTCCAATAAATGATTGTGAAGTTAGGTAGAACACTCTTATTGGTAGAACTACTCTGTCCTAATTTTCTGTTTTGGATCAGAGCCAATATTTGTGTGACGCAGTGCAAGTCCCATAAACATCTGGCCTGATCTGGTGTCCTACTTGCTGAATGATTTATTTCTTGTCCTTTCCATAGCAAGATAAGTGGAATTTTTATTCATTTTGTGTAAAACTGTCAGTAAGCTGTGGTTATTACTTACATATGCTAGCTCAGTTCAGGAGGATCTCTTTCAACGTAATTCCTTGTCAGTGTGTCCTATGCCCTACACCTTATGAGAAACGTTAAACAATCAGAAATTTGGAATACAAACAAAAAATAATTTTATTTTTATATACATGTTGTATGTTAAGTTCTGACTGTATTGTTCTCCAGCACATTCAGATGCTCATTTTTATAATCACCATAGCCTATATTGACCTCAGATGGAGTAATTCATAAAAACTGTTAGTCTGATATGGGGTTTTCAAACATAGGAAATTCTCAGTTTACCTGCAAAGATTGCATATTAAAATATACATCTGAAAATACTGTTGAATCACTGAATTCTTTTAATAAATCTGATAACAATTAACATTTAATAGTGGTATATATTTCCCATAGTGTCCAACAGAACAGTGTAAAGCAAATTTTTTTAACCTGCAGACCATCATGGTGCCTTTTTTTTTTCTTTCCCCTTAGTCAAACTGTGGTCACTTTTAAATACCTATGATCTAACTGTTTTACTCATGGCGTTTAGGATTACATGTTTTTCAAGGTTGTGTCAAAGTCATGCTGTAGGGGCTTGATTTGCTTGACTAGGATTATTTCACAGTCATTCTCCTGATAAATTGTATGTGCATATTCAGATAGGTAGAAGCTCAGGTAGTTGCAGTGTGCCTTGTTCTCACAATATGGCTGATGCAAATTTTCCGTAATGAATCTTGCGTACTGTGCATGTGCAGTACCATTTGCAGTTGAACTTGAACAAGTAAAGAACTTGGTGTCAGATAAAGCTGCTGATGTTCATTTTCTTTTTAAATTGTAAAAACACCTGAAAATAATTTGATTATTGGGATACCAAATTTGGTTAATGATGAATCCAAATATGACCTTCTAATTTTCTTAAAAAAAAAAAAAAAAAAAAAAGTGACTACAACAGTAGCCTTTTTTTTTTTTCAGAAGGGTGGACTGGTGGCATTGGCAGTGGTGGATGCTCATCAGCCAATAAGATGAGTTTAGTGTTGGCCCTTTTATTTTCTGTGCTATTTGAGACTTAGTGGGATGAAGAATTTTACCTCAGTTTTCTTTGTGCTGACCCAGTTTTGTTGCATCTGTAGAGCATACATGAGGACAGAGCAATTGATATTTTTTGTGCTGTACAGATGCAGTATCTGTCTAGATATTTATTATTAATGCAGTGTTTCTGATATGAAACACCATCAGATAACCTTTTATCTGCCTCCCCCACCCCTTCAAGTTGTGGAGGTAAAATAGAGCAAATATTCGCATGCAAAATCTTTTGACAGCTTTGTTGCGTTCTGTTACCAGGTTCTCATGAAGCAGTGCTGTAGGCACTGAGTTTATTTTTTTTTTTAACTAGAACAAACACAGTTCTAGTCGTATCCCAAAATATTTGCATTGTTTCAATGCAAATAGTAAACAACACACCTACACTTCGCATGTTTTCCATATTTTTGCTGTAAGAAAATGACAATTCCTTAATTGTTTTCAGTGAATGCACTTGCCCAAGCCTGGCTGCCAGATGGCCTCATGCTCACTGTCCTTCTCCCTGCCTCTCTTCAAAGAGCTGCAAAATTTTTTTGATTAAATACTAATTTTAATCTATTATTCATCTATTACTATTGAGAAGGCTAAATAGCAGTATGGTACGTGAGATTCTGGGGGGGGTGGAGGTGGAGATCACTGAAGACATGATGTACATACAAAGCAGGGGAGAATTCTGAAGTATTAGATCTTCAAGGTAGCATTAATATCCTGTTGAAAATTTTAGTAGAGTTGCTTACAATTTTCAGAGAAGAAAAGGAAAAAAAGCCTCCTACTTTAGTAAACCTCTAGTCCTCAGTTAAACAACTGTTGTTTCTTTTGGAAAAGCCACAAGTGCAGCACCTGCTTTTTCAAATCTGACAAATAAGACTCAGTTGAAGAATGTAAAGCAAAGGCACATTAATGGTCTTCTGAAAGGTGGTGGTCTGACACCTAAAATGTGATGTCAGATGAGAATTATGAGAAGGAATTTTTATTTGACATTTTTTGTTTTATTTGAATGTTTGAACACACTTGATTCGTAAGACAATATTAAAAATATTTCTACCAATGTGAACAGTAGTAATTCCTAAAATAAAGCAGTGTTCTACTGTAGCATGTATCTAATTTTAGCTTTCCAGAACTTCCTAGAACTTCCTCTTTTAAAGAGGAATAGAGGGTGAACACCCTCTTAAAATGCTGTCACTTCACCCTAACTTTTGGTCTTCTCTTGCTTCTGTCTATCTCATTGTTTAATCATATGTATCTGATCAGTTGTGAAGTTTAATGAAAACTATTTTTTTTTTTAACATTGCTAATGGTCTCATTTGTACGAATTCTCCAGTGTCTAAATAAAACAATTTAGTGAAACTGAAGCTTTGCTTGCAAGAATACTCTTCTGGATCCCTTTTCTCTCCCTAAGTCCCGTTTTCACTCTATTGAACTTTTTTGAAACTGATGAGTTTTAAACGCTTCAGGAGAGGTATGTTTGAGAGAAGTCATTTGAACTCATTTGTTTCCTAGTCCCTTCACCAGCTTTGCTGCTCTTCTCTGAATGTGTTTCAGCAACTCTGTACCCTTCTTGTAGTGAGGGTCTCAAAACTGAGACCAGTATTTGAGGTCTGGTCTTACCAGTGCCAAGGAGACAGTCACTTCCCTTGTCATGCTAGCCCCACTGTCTCTGATGCTGTCATTTCAGCCAGTTGTTGACCAACACCCCCAGGTCCTTTGCTGCCAGGCAAAATTTATCCTAACCTATAATCTAAATCCCCCTTCCTTTAGTTAAAAACCGTTGTCCCTTTGTCCTGTTGTTAACTGATTGAGGAAGAGTGGCTCTCCATCTATTTTTTTTTTTTTTTTAAGTCCCCTTTAAGTACTGGAAGGTTGCAATGGGGTCCCCCTGAAACCTTCTCTTCTGTAGACTGAGCATCCACATCCTTCTTGGGCCGGGGACCCCAGACCTGGACACAGCACTACATGTGGGGCCTCACAAGGGCAGAACAGAGGGGGACAATCACCTCCCTCCCCTGCTGACCATTCCTCTGCTGATTCAGCCCAGGACACAGTTGGCCTCCTAGGCTGCAAGCACGCACTGCTGGCTCATGTCGAGCCTTTCATCCACCAGAATCCCCAGGCCCCTCTCTGCAGGGCTGCTCTCAGTGAGCTCTTCTCCCAGTCTGTGCTCATGTCTGGGGTTGCCCCAACCCAGGGGCAGCACCTTGCACTTGGACTTGTTGAACCTCATGTAGTTCACATGGGCCCACTTCTCCAGCCTGTCCAGGTGCTGGCATCTCTTCTTTCTGTTGTATCAACTGCACCACTCAGCTTGGTGTCATCTGTAAATTTGCTGTGTGCACTCGATTCCACTGTCTGTCACTGATAAAGATACTAAACAGTACTGGTCTCAGGACAGACCCCTGAGGTACATTATTGTCCTTCACTTATACACATAGAGCCACTCTCTGGGTGCAATCATCCAGCCATTTCCTTATCCACTGAATGGTCCGCTCTTTAAATCCACATCTCCTCAATGTGGAGATCTGGATGTCACATGGGACTGTGTCAAAGGCCTTACAGAAGTCCAAGTCGATGACATTGGTTGGTTTTCCCTTCTCAACTGATGCAGCCACTCCATCATAGAGGGCCACCAGATCGGTCAGGTGCAATTTGCCCTTGGTGAAGCCATCTTTGGCTGTCTTGGATCACCTCTTTGTCTTGCATGTGCCTTGACATTGCTTCCTGGAGGACCTGTTCCATGATCTTGCCAAGACAGAGCTGAGGGTCACCGATCTGTAGTTCCCCAGGTCCTCCTTTCTACTTTTCAAAAATGGGAGTGATGTTTCCCTTATTTCAGTCAGCAGGGACTTCCTCTGACTGCCAGTACTTATCAAGTATGATGAAAAGAGGTGACTACATCAACCAGTTCCCTCAGGACCCTGGGGTGCATGTCATCAGGCCCCATAGACTTGTACCTGTTCAATTTCATCAGGTGGTCTCAAACCTGCTCTTCTCTTACAGTGGGTGGGACTTTGCTCCCCCAGTCTCCATCTGTGGGTTCAGGGAAACAAAAGACTTGGGAAGTCTGACTGGCAGTGAAGACTGAGGTGAAGAAGCTGTTGAGTACCTCAGCCTTCTCCACGTCCGTCGTT